CTGTTTTTGGGAGTATATTTGTTCTGTCCTTGTTTGTTCTTGATGTTGAGGCCATTCCTGGTGTGATGCCAAACTGTATGAGGTACTTGGGATTACTGTAGCAAGTATTGCCAAATTTTCAGGTGCATGACTGTCTGGAACAGAAATACTTCCTGAGGTCAGTGGTACTGGTGCAGGAAATGATGTTGATGGTTTTTGGAAACTTGTGTTTGCAGCTACACCAGTAACTGTATCCACCAAAATGGAATTCTGGACCAAAGATGAACCAAGAAGCGAGTTCTCGGATACCTGTCCATCACCTTTAGGTTTCTTAGCAGCCTGATTAGCCTAAGCAAAAAGGAAAGTAAGAAAATACACAGCTTAGACGACTCATACAGTACGTCCTAATTTAGCTCAAAGGTGAGGATAGGAGCTGACTCAAGGTTTCACCCCCTCCCAACCCAGCTGCAGGAATAAAAGGCAAATACGATGTAACTACACTTTTTCCCTTGGTTCAGAATTCTCCTAGTCCACCTCTTTTTTCTAGACACTGTTAGAGGAAAATTTCTTACCTGCCAATTTCTAATTCTCTTGAGCCTGCTAGGCGTTTTCTCCAGTATCTGCAGAAACTCATGAGTTAGCTCTGGGTACAAAAAAAACCAAAGCCATTTCTTACATCTGATTCTGTAATAAGCAGGTTAAACTTCAAGCATTCTTCGAGACTAACAGTATACAGCTTTTGCAGTAGTTACCACAGGCTGCACATGGTTTGAATTTATATTTAATAAAGAATGTTGTTAGACAAGCGTTGAACAAAAAAACCTACAGTATTTCACTATGACAGACCTCTGACCACTATGTACATTCTGAAAAACAGGTTTGAGTTTAAGATTTTATTTTCACTCTTGCAGAATCTGGATATCTTGCACCAAAAACTTCTAGAGAGATCTGCAAAAACAGTAGCTCCTAAAAATAAGATACTTGCCATTGAGCTTGGGCGTTTCCTGTATGAAGTTTCCTTTAAAGTGTAAATTTCTAAGTGACTGTTTCAATCATTCCACTGAACTTCAGGAACAACAGCTCTGAACAAAATATAAGCCTTTGAAGCACCCTGTTTTAAGCAATAGTTTTTGATTAATTTGTGTTCAAGGCAAATAGCTGGTTGTGTTCGAAAACCAAAGATCCTTGCAGTTACTATGTCCACTAGGAAGTGCAGGTCTCCGTGCTTGTCAGCTGCAAATAAAAATACTTTCCACTGAAATTAAATTTTACTCACAAGCTGAAAATAATTAGGTACAGTCAGAATTTGAATGCAAACGTAGATCTCCTGCAGGTCTGGAAGAACTGGCTTCTCCAGAACTCCAACAAGCAAGTTTTAAACTACGCTGCTCCAAAGTGCAAAACTGCCTCAGCACTTTGGTCTGCCCGAGCCTATTGCACGCACTGGTTCCATGAATGCTTGAAGAATCAAGCAGTGTACACCGTGGGCTCACAGCACACATCTTGTGGGATTTTAAAACGCAAAATGATGCATGCTTACCAAACGCGCAAAACCAAAAGCCAGATGAGAAGGCAGGCAGGGTGGTGTTTGAAACTACAGATACATCTTCAAGAAGCCTACTAAGACAGAGACACTTGAACTTGCAATTTCAAGCTCACTCTAGTTCTGTGCTTCACAGAACATGTACTCAAGTTTCCAGTTTCAAAAAAAAACCCCAAAAAACTGCCATTAAGAAACAAAGGCTCAGCAGGAGTCAAGCAGGCCATGGGGAGCTGTGCTGGGCCATACCAAGCCTGAAGGCCTCCGCCACTACTCTGAAACAAATGTTTCACTCTAGAACGAACAGCAAAGTCCAATATCTCAATCTGAAAGCCCCAGAAGCTACCACCTCCACTAGAGCAGTGTATCTAGGCCCTAAGTTCAGACTCCACTGTAGTAAGTACTATTTCAAAAGAGAGTAAACTTCCAGGTATACGGTCTTCTAGATAAATGCTATCTTCTGGGAAGAAGCCACCTAACAAGAAAAAATATGTTTTACACGAGTTTAAAGTATCATAAGCGATACCCAACTGTTAACATGGAACTACCTTCATAAGTAACAGCAATTTCATGTATAGCCTTAAGAACAGCTGTCTGGGTGAAGCCATAAACTTGGACCAGTGATGCATACAGAATGATCAGGAATGCATGGATTTGCACTGGTAGATCTCCATCTCTTTCCTGGTTCTGGAAAGCACTTAAAAGCAAGGTTTGCACCTACAAAAAGCATGTGGATGCCCCAGCCCACAGGATGAAATGAAAAGGGTCTCAAAACTAAGTTGGTCTTCTGAGGTTCTCCCCTCTCCTATACCTTTCTCTCACCTGGGGATCTGGTATGTGAAGTCCGTGAGACTTAGTTTAGGCTTAAAGCTATGCCCTTACTACACTATGCTCCCATTTTTACATTAATAAGCCCTCGAATTTTGAGCTGTGAAAAGGCAGTATTACTTACCATCCAGTAATTCTAGAGTAACTGAAGGATCTACATATTCCCACCAGTGTTTTCCATCAGTTGATACTGGAATCTCCCAGTTGGACCACTTGCAGGCCAAGTGAATGCACACACACGCTATCACTGTAGGCTTGTACTGAAGACAGAATGTAGTAAGGTGAAGACTGTTGCACAGATTTCGTAATGAGGAACCAAAGGAAATCAACCATGTAAAACAGAAAACCCAAACGAATCAACCATTAACATACAGAATAAGATAGCCTGTCAAGCAACAGCAGTTAAACATCAGTTCATGGTACATTTTTCTGATTAAGTTTGTTAGATACCTTACTGCCTTAAGAAGACAAAGGGCAGGGCAGTTATCTGGTAGAAAAGTTTAATTTGCTTTTGCTATAAAAAGTGTGATGAACAGTAAATAAATTTACCAGTTATTCTACTGTACTTAAGTAATAAAAAGGAAGAAGTATAACATGATCAATTAGAATTTTACAGTAAAAGGCATATAGCTGATTACGCAGTCTCTGAACGAGACAACTAGAAGAAGGTACCCAACAGCTCTGCAAGAGGCCATGTGAATTACTTGTGGGCTTAGCGCTCACTTGGCCTGTATTTGTGGTATTTGTAAAGTCTCCTTCCGCTTCCAGCTGGCACAGCACAAACACAATGGTTCAGTTTCTCTTCTTTATCACAGCTTTTCTTAAGAGCTGTTTCAAGTACAGAACTTTGCCCATCAAGGAACCACCAAGAAATATTTCTTTGGAAGGGTTCTAATAACCAGCAGATACTGCTTAAAAACTATCTACACGTAATGTTATCCGCTTAAATAAATCTCAAAGTTGTTTTACAAGAAGCAGATTGAAGTCATCGAGAAATCAAGACTGAAGTCTCATCTCAAATTCCATCTTTCTACAACAGGCTATGTATACACAATCCCCATTTGGAATCCTAGAACTTTAAATTTAATGTAAATACTTAAGTTTTAAAACTCTACATTAAGATTAAAGAGCTATTTCTAAAAGGAAGAACATTGGATGACTACTAGTCTATGTGAAAGGAAAAAATCAGCTAGTTGGAAAGATCTTAGGCCCACTACAATTTTATAAGTTAAGACTGGATCAATATATTTAAAGTTAAGAGAAAACTGCCATTAACTACAAGTGTAAACTAAAAATAATTTTGTACTTACCAAGATGCTCGAATTTCTAGGTTAAGTTTAGCTCTTTGTAATCTTTAGCTGCTATTCAGGCTACCAATTTTAGACTTATGCACTCACAATCGAGAAAATGTCATCAGAAAGCACCACTACACTTCTCATTGTGCATTTAACCCCTTTGTGCCATCAGGCCCTTGTACAATACACCGCACTGCAAACAGGAAGGTACCACCACTGTAGATGGCCCAGTCTCCTGCTGCAACAAGGGTAAGACACATGTAGGGGGCCCTGCAGTAAAGGAAGCTATAGTGTGCTACAACAGTGCAACAAAGAGGTTCAGGATAACAACCTGTTGGTAGCCATGAAATAGGATGTCTGTGCCAAATCCTTGCTTGCTGTAAGAAAACAAAAACAGAGAGATTAAGTATCTGCACTAGCTTGTCAGGTTCATTCCAAAATTAAAACAGTTTTACTATCAAAAAAGCACCACTTGGTTATTTCCACAGAACTGATCTGCATTTAGCTAACTACCCTTTAAAATAATCTTTTCCAAGATACAGAAGAGTCCATTATATTCAGTAATAGAGATGGACCAGTCATTGATTCACTGACCCTCCCGCCGTGCAACCCACAGGACAGCTTCCTTTTGCTTATCTACCCCGCAAACACCTCACACATGAGTGTGCTCTCTCCTAGGAATACCTGCTTCCCCTCCCCCATTTACAGACAACCCCTAGTAAGTAACCCGGGACTGCAGTAAGGCAGTCAGTAAAAGCAAATTCGTAGCACAGTGCAAGGTCTGCTCCTGGAGAGGAGCATGGCAGGACAGCTGGAGAACATCCCCGCCCCTGCCTACCACCTCCCCCAAACCAGCCGTACCTCTCTCCCAAAGCCCTACACCACCGCAAGCTCCCAAGCTAGATGGTAAAAAAGTGAAACAAGTTTTCTGCTCCCTCTAATCCAAAGCACCGTACTCATAACATTTTGCTCCACATTTGTTAAACCTATAGCAAAGCTTCGATAGAAAATAAACAGCTTCATTGTAGTTACAGTCAGGAAAAACCCCACGCAAGACTGCAACGTGCCAGAAATGGAAACTAACAATTTAGGCTGTTACAGCCATCTAGCACTGACCCCTACCAGTGAAACCCCCAATGCTTCTCACTCAAGTAAGAGAACTTACTGTAACATGCATATAATGGAATAGCTGGGCACAATGGTTTTAACTGAAGATTGAATGCAGCCTTCATTGAATTCTTACTTTGACACTATCACTTGAAATCAGTGCTACCTGCAGAAAGCGTATGGTTGAATTTTATGTCAAAGGGAATATTGTTAAACTTTTATTTTAATAATAATCTTTCCACAAAGTTTGAGAAAGACTGAAAGGGCTTTTAAAATTTAATTTTAAAAAGCACATTAAATATGTGATTTAACTCTACTTCTAATGATTGCCAAGGAGTACAAATCAGATTTGTCTCTATGCTACACAACCGGGCAGTGCCATAATCTGAGAACGTGGAAGTGGCAAGGTAACAGGATCCGTTCCTACACACAAATTCTATTAATCCATAATAATCAAAAGGTGACCGGACAATGTGACAGTGTTACACTATAATATTTATTTTGCAAACTATAATGCTAATTGCATGCCAGAAAACCATGGAGTTCAAACTCTTCCTCTCCCTCTCTTCAACAAAATGTAAGGCAGTATTACCAGAAAGAGGTGAAATGAGACTATCATAACAAAACAAACAAAAATACAGAATGATTGAATAAGACTGAAATTGATGTCTTGCTCTTCATTTTTCAAAGTAATGTTTAAAGGATCTTCAATGATTTCTATATTCTGTAAAGTTACAACATGTTTGAATTAAGGGATTGCACCAAGAAGCATCTCTACTCTCACTGAAATGTCCCTTTTGAACAAGGGAAAAAAGCAGATGCCAGAAAACTTCTATTTAACATCGGCTTGAAAGTTGAGTAAATCAAAACACATACCTGGAAGAAAAGAATCACATCTTGAAACACACATTTTAGCCTCAATCAAAAATTAATGTACTAAATACCTTATCTGTACTACAAGCAGTATGATACTGTTTATTTACCTGAAAATAAGTTGAATCATCAACAAAACCCGCAAGAAATTTCAGCTCACAGCTAAAGCCTATGGTAACGCACAATTGAAAACATCCGTCCCAAACTCGTCTCTTACATTTAGGACAGCTTTGGTTTAGTAGAATCCATCACTAAAATTAAAGCTAACGAATTTTGGTTCCTATGTTTCAGTGTGTTATTTCCTTTATAGTAGTGGAAAGTGCATTTCCAAATTAAAATAATCCTGAAGCAGAGGCTAAAACAAGCCAGCAGAGCTGTTACAACTCTCAAGTTGCAGGGCTGATGACTATGACACAGCCATTAATAACCACTTTTATATTTTATCATTTGTGAGTGATTTAAAACACCCACCCTGCCTCACTGCTGCAGAAGCAACCATAAGGCAGGGGATTACCAAAGTAGTAATCAAGAGTTTGAAACAGGACTTGCTGTCTGACACACCTTCCAAAAGACTACTGTCTCCAAGAAATTCCCAACTGGAAAACAAAATGCTTTTTATTGGGCATAGCCACACAATTCAACCGGTTGCAATTCCAAGATATCTGAGCCTTTTCTTCAACACTAGGTTATCTTGGATCTTGAGATAATCATGAAAACATGATTGCCACCCTTAGGAGGGTGGTAGCTGGCTATGTCTTGGACCCTGACAATATAGGTAAGCATTCTCCAGAAAGAGGAGACTGCAGATAAACCAGTCAACATCAGAAGAGAGAAAGCTTGCTGAAGTCCTTCTGGGCAAAAGGAAAAAAGCCACAGGCTCTGAATGGAGGTATGTTGCTGTATGCCTGTTTTATCTGGAAAGGGCTGAGGCGGCCATGGTGTAGGCATTCAGGTCTGAGCAGTGCTGGTGGCTTTACTTTCCTGAAAGTATTTAAACCTTGGGAACAGGTCTGTAAAAGCCTGAGGTGAAAGTTCAGAATGTGAAGGACACACATAACAGTGCTGGAGTGCAGCTAGTGTTTAAGATCTTTCCACACCACTTAGTATACTAAGATTTAAATTTTTCTAATGAGGATACCCTCTGAAAAAGCTGATTGATTTTCATCTCCTCTTCTGCTGAACTCGTCTTTATCAGCTTAGTTTAACCAATGGCACCCATGCACACAGATACTATGGTACGTTTGAAGAATGTGACAGTGCAATTTCCACAGAAGATTAGTAAGGATCATGGGTGTTCAAGATACCTGATAACCTGTGGAGTGGCAAGAACAATCCTAGAAATCCTTGGGATCCAATCTTCTCTTCCAAAACAAGGTTGTGTACCAACACAGAAAAAAGAATGACTGAAGACTTCCCAAGATGGAGATGAGGATACAGATTCCTCCCCTTCAAGTTCCACCAGAAGCAGGCTGGGAACAGACCGATACTGCACCAGAGCTAAGAGGACCATGTCATGGTCTCAGCAGTAGGGCAGTTTCACTGCTGATCATTCAACTAGCATTCAAGCCAGTAAGGTAGTTTGACACCAGAAAAATTTTTGGTGTTTTGTTGTTGGCTTTCTGTTGGTTGGTTGTTTTGTTCCACCCCACCCCCCTCCTTTTTTCTTTTCTCTTTTCTTCTCTCTCCAGTACTGGAGCATCCTTGGAATGGGCACTGAAGCTTGCTGCATGTCTTCACAGATCCAGTGCCTTCAGATTCCTTAGAGGACCTGTGGGATCCTAAGGAATGATGGTCCTCTCCTCTTCTCAGTCTCTTGACACTGAGGAAGAATGGTGCAGAAAAAAGACTGAGCCCACACCATTTTCCTCGTCTACTATACTGACCAAACTGTAAAGATGAAACAATTTCATCAACCCATGAATCTTTGAAAACCAGAAGGAATAATTAGACACCTTATGTCTGAACATCTTGAGGCATTATGTATACATCCAGTCACCCCTTATCTACAATGATCTGTGTTGTCTAATACTGCCTTCAGAAAGGCTTTCAATCTTAAGAGATTAAGAACTCAACTTTTTCTTTAGTAGTGTGTTGAAGCAATTATTTGCACCAATTCCCACTTATTAGTTCATGTTCAGCTTCCAGCAATTGATTCTGGTATGCCATACGAGACTAGACAGTCTTCTGACAAAGGACTTGGCTGAATCTTTTGAGCATCATCAACAGAACCTCCCCCTCCCCCCCTTTTGATTTTAAAGGGTGTAGCTTACAGATTAATACAGGTAACAGTGACAGCAGAAAGCACATTACCCTGGATGCAAGACAACAAAAAGTGATACAGAGAATCAGACATCCTCTTAGCTATTTAAGTTTAGCCAGCAAAAGGGCATCTTCTCACCACATGACAATGCAGTGCACACATGCTAAGCCAAAACCTTAAGTATATTTGCATACCTCAGCTAACTTTGCCTCTCTTTTGGTACTTAAATAGTCAGCCATGTTTTATTCCTCCCTTCCTTCTCTCCCCAAACATACAGTTGGAGGTTTTAATCACAAGTCTTGGATAAGTTAATCACCTTTAATAAAAAAGGTATCACTGTCTTCTGAAATAGTGCTCTTTGTCCACGAAGACATGTTACCAGAACTGGATGAAGCAACCTTGCATTTCTTTAACTTCTCAGTTGATCCCTTTAGAGCTAAAGGCTTAACACAAGTCTTAAGCTTGATATCTGAGCATTGCCCCTATTCACATTAAAAAAACACACTGTCCAATAAATAAATGTTAAGAGATAAAGAACTAAATTCATACCACTGCGTCTTTGAAGATATATCACTGTGCCCACAAGCCCATCTCTTTGTTCACTCAATACATAAGACTAATGTTCCATGGCAATTATTCTCTAACTGCTTGACTTGCATGCATGACTACAGATTTCATGCTCAATGTTTTTAATTTATGGATTTTTTTTTTTTTTTTTAATATGAGGTACTCTAGTCTTGTGTTCACAGCCTATACCACCCCTAGGAAGGGCATATGCTGACAAGAATATCATTTGCATACACGCATACTAAGGAACACACCTACTCCAGTAAGCAGGTTTGTACCAGATGTATTACATTCGCTTTGCATCAGTCCTTGAGGTACATGGATTTTTCAGCCCTCAGTGGAGTCTTCAGATTTCACGACTTGGTATAATTTTAGAATTCTGAGTATTTTGTTAATCTGTGCTGACATTAAATACTAGCTTTAAAATGTCAAATTTAAAAATTAGCATGTACTTTCAACTTCATGAATTTTATCAGTACACAGAAGTAGCATACAAAACAAAGGAAAAAGCTGAATTGCCTTATAGAGTGGTATCTACCCTTGACAAAAGAAGTTAAGTTTGTGTATCAGTATGACTTTCTTCATGTAGGTTCAAGTCAAATACGCTTGCAAACATGGAAATCCTGACACAGCTACACTGCTGCCTGCTGCCCCTCCCCACAGCCCCAAACACCGAGCAGAAGAGCAGGGGCTCACACAAAACAGTGAAATATGTGCTCACATTTATACTGACCAACAGCTAAGAAAATCTGAAGCAAAACCCTACAAAGCTGCTGATGCAGACTACTGAGACTTTAGGTGCAATTAGAATAATGCACTGAGCCACAACCAAATCTGGACAGAAAGTAAAGAATTATTATCTTACAGCAAGAATAGCCATAAAGCTGCTTTATGTGCAAATAAGTTCCAGCACCAGTCCTCCTCAGAATCCAACTCTGAAGACACTACACCAGGAAGCTACTTTAAATGATACTTTTCCTTCAAAGAACAACTTTAATTCTAGAGTTACCACAAAACAGATCTAGTTAACATGATGAAGTTGTACCTAACTTTCCTATATTTTATAGAGGAAAAAAAAACCCCAAAACTTTGAGGCACTTTGCATTTTTCACTGCAAAAACCAGCTACTATTAAGACTAACAACTGGTCTAGTAATTTCCAAATACTTCATTAAGGAACATAATTAAACTGAAAAGCTTGTTTTAGGTGCTTTTACAACCGATTCCTGATTTTTTCATCCTCCATCTTATGAGAGGATTTTTTTCTTTTTTTAAAGCTGCAAAGGAAATAAATTTAAGCATTAAAGAAGGTGTGCCAAAATTCAACAAAAAATATTTAAAGAACAAAACAGGTTTCTAGCCAGAGTCACATTAATGAGCTGCATACAAGTTAGAGGATACAATTGTTTAACAAAAGGTTTGGGGTTTTGTGCTACCATCCAAAATAAGTAAGTACACCCTGTTCCAGAAAAACAATTTAGTCACATCTTGAAGTATTTGCATGTGATAGCAGACCTGCTATGCACTCTCTTCAGTTCATTACCCGAAAAAATATGCTAAGACAGAAAGCTAGCACTAGCCATCAACGAACATGCAGACCAAACTTCACTTAGTAAGAGTGAAAATAATCAACCCAGAACAATACTAAGTAGTTGGCTACACAGTTTTCAACTACTAACTGCTTCTGTCATTTGAGAAAACATGGAACAGACATTATTAAAATCAAAGCTAGTGAGAAAGCAAAAAAATGATGAAGGATAGAACTGGACTCTCTATCAAACTCTAAAGGTTAAGATCAAGCTTTTAGTAATTATCTTTAACTGTTATCCAAAGAGTTTTTTTAGTGAAGATCATATTAGACAAATAACATCACCTTCAAATTTTACTGGAAAGGTAAAAAAGGACTTACAGAAGTGGTTAAAAGTCACTGACCTCTCACTAACTGCGTGCATTTCACAACATCTGTGTGCGGATGTTCAATGGTAATCTCAAAACCTGAAGGGTTACGAATACATTTTAGAATTACACATTTGCATCTGTAAAATAAAAAAAACAAACCCCTTTTGTTTCCCCACAGACCTAAAATGCTTGCACTTTGCACTGCAAGTCAAGTAACACTATTTAACTGCCTTTTATTCCACACCTTTTCATACTTTTGAAGTGGAATAGCCACTTCAAGATCAATTAGTAAAACATTCCTTCGGTAATCTCAAGTCTCACATTTATATATAAAACCTGGGAAGTGACCGTATTTTTAAAGTTGAACATAACTGTAATCTCTAGTACATTAAGTCAGTAAAAGCTATATTACAGACACACTGAAATACATCTCCATGCACACACACTTTATTCATTGATTTCTGGGACTTAAACATGTTGCATCTGTGAAACTACAAATTAAGTCAATTTGTAGGTCAGTGACTTACGAAACCTTTATGAAGCTATTTTAAGAATTAGGTCACTACTGTTAGCTTTTTTTTTTTTTTTAAACAACATGCTCGAAGTGCTATTTAAGAATGTCTGAGTAAGTCAGTGTTTTCAGGCCTGCTACCTGCAGCTGTCTCTATGTTACTTTAGAGTCAAAAGAGTTTTTTATCTGAACATTCAATTTCAAATTTTGGGATTACCTGAATCCCTTAAGTGGTTACACTATGACTTGTGATGTTGAGGGTAGTAACCCCATTCCATTACATAACGTTCTTCTACTGAAAGGCAAAATGGGGAAGAGCACTTGGTATAAAGCTCTTCCCAATTGCTTCAGAACACATACACAGGTAAACCAGTGTAACATGGTGCCTTATATAAAGAAATATCAACGTAGTTACTACTCTGGAGTAAAACGTATTTGGAAGGATACACATTTCTACCCCACCAAACTGTCAGAAACACCTATTTTGCAAGTATAGATACACCTTTTTTCTCTCTAAAATAAACACAACAGAACTCCTGATATGAAACTAAATTCTCGGGTCAGACTTGCATACAAAAATAATAAAATTCCAGAGTACCAACAGCACATCAAAAATCCAGTTACTTGGGTCCCATTACTTCTTTCATGGAAAGCTGGCTGCACAGGAGATATTTAGAAAGACATACCTAAAGTTTGAAGCATTATTGTTTCAAGTATAACCAGCTCTTGGGCTTGCTGAAGATATGCCTGAAACAAATAAGCAAACAGGTCAAGACGTAGCTATCTATTGTCTCAAAATTTTAATCATACGCTTCCTATTTGGATACTCGTACTAGCAACACAAGTTAAGACCACTACCCAAGTCAGTCGACACTGACAACTCGGAACACTTCATTGTGCTAATACTTTCATCTACCAGTATGTGTTACACCAGCCTAACCATCTTTCACAGTAAGATTTACTTAGTCTGGATCTCATATAATCTACTCCAGCAAAGCATTTTTGGGAAGATGGGGGTGCTATAGGAATTACGAAGTAATTTGCCAGTGCAAATCAACTCTAGGCAGATAATCCATTTTACAAGTACTTTAAAATACAGCTGGAGATACTCAGTTGGCCTGTGTTAAGCTAGCTTAAGCTTGTGGGCTCAAACACCTGTGTACACATTGTGTGTCATCCCAAGAACCAGCAGCACTGCAAAGGTGCTCAAATAGTTTTACACGTCAGCTGAGGTCCAGCAGGTTATAACTAGCTCAGCCTGACCTTCAAGTACAACAGCTCTGGTGCATTTCCACCACACTTCCTCATGTCTGGTTTCAGGAAGACTCATCTCAGGGAAGAACATGTGAACTAAAGTTAAGTGGAAGCTGTACAAACTTTGGCAAATGTAAGGACGACCAAGGTATAGCAGAGGCAGCAACTGACAACTGTATTGCAACCCTGAAAAGAGAATGCAGACAACGGTGCACAGTGAGGCTCAGGTTGAGGAAAACAGGAGTTCAGCATCCTGAACTCCTCTCTGTGCAAACTGTGGAACTTACGGAACCGCACATAAAACTTCTTATTTAACGTCCAGCCTAGTCTTCTGCTATACATGTAGAAGTCTTAAAAATAATGCAAGTTCAAGATGGAACAAGCTCTTCAAGTTTCATAGCACAAATATTTGAGTCTTTAATAAGTTATGTAAAGTAACACAAAAGACTTAAATGCTGTAAAAACCAAAAGTTTTTTCTAGTTTGCAGACAGCAATAATCCAGTCAAGACAATGTAAGAGATCATTAGATGAAATGTCATCTGATTATCTTTAAAACCATGACTTCCACCTACATCACTTTTTGTATCCAGTTGTGGCTCTTGCGGATGAAGACAGGCATGTGCTACTTTAATAACATGTTCAAGTTTCCGTGGCTGTTCTTCCACTTTCGCAGCCAAAAACAACGCCGTAGGAGATATTATCTGAAGAAGAAAAACATATATGTATTTTTTAACATTTTACAAGTAGGACTTTAATTTTTATGGAGATTCTAAACTGGTAACTAGAAAAAGTTAAAGAAGTTGGGTTTGTTTTGGTTTTCGTTTTGTTTTTTTTTCTTTCTTAAAAACAGTTCTGAAATCATTCAAGGCAACAAAAATAACTAGCCACATTTTATTTTATAACTGATGTAATCCTCTCAGCAGCACAGGGAAGGAATAACATAAATGCATTTGTGAGTAAGATGTCTGAGGTTAAACTAACTCCAGTTCAACATAAAAAGAACAGATTTGGTCCAGAAGATTTAGTCACACTAGAACAGGCTGTTTCAATTTAAATATACTTCATGAGAAAGTTCATCCAGTTTCTTGTGCAGTAGTAAGCCATTATACCATCTTTTCAGTAGAAGTCAAAACAGCTGATCACAAGTTCTGCTAGCATTTGATTCTCCTAAAAAGCAAGAAATGTTGCAGAGAACTTCAAGGAAAACAGCTTGTTATATAAACATAGGTTGTAAAAGTAGAAGCTTACTTTTAAGAAATTTTGCTATATACCCAGCAGTATCTGGTGAACAGAGCACATGGATTCACAAAACAGCAGTTACATCAGATGTTAGTAAAGACTACAAGTTACATTTAAAGGTAAAAATTTTAATAAAAACTGCAGGTGTCATAAGCTTGCAGCAAAGCACCTATTCGCAGTTCAGTACCACCTAGGAGTTAGCTATGAAATAGGGTTTTGATGCCTAGTTATCAGCTAGAATGACTGATGCATTTATATACAGAACACGGCTAACCAGAAATGACTCCAAAGAATCAGGGTCCTCTTCGTATGCAATGTTGGCCATGTCAAACACGAATTAAAATGACAGCAGAAATCTTTGTGTAGACATCAGCAGATTAAATTTTTTAAATTAAGCCAGTATAAAGCATTTATTCAGAGACTGAAACACCTGCTTGTTGAGTGTTAGTGCATGGTGCAAGCACTGCAGGTATTGGATTTCTCATTCAATGCCCAAGCAGACATAGAATGAATAAACTCAATGGCAGCCATAGTTCCCCCTAAAGTGAGGGGATTTTTTCGTTAGCACTTAGACCTTTGTTATGCCAAAACAGGACACTCGGTGTAAAAATTCACAATATAGTAAAAACTGCAACAAACTAATTAGACTTGAACATTTAAGTGATTACCCATTACATTTCAGGAGCTTTAAAATGTATTGAGGAAGTACTTTTTGCCTCCTTAAATCACTTTGAAATGTCCATTTGTATCTTAAGTAAAACTTGTAAGTTGGCAGACTTGAGGAAAACTGACACCCTGGGAAGGTGATACCTTTTGATGTATAGAAATGGGCCATGAAGAAGTCTAGTATTCTAAAAAAACCCAAACCACTCAAAACAAGTCACAGGGAGCAAATTCTTCCACAACGGAGACAAAAGAATTGCTCGCTTTTTAAGAAGCTTATAACTTAAGCCTTACAAATGAATGAAATAAAAACCTGAAGTCAGATGTTGCTGAACAAGGCCATATTAACAGTATCATTTAAGACATCTGATGATTTTTGAGAAGTTCCCATCCACATTGCTTGAAGTAATGATTTATAATTCCAGAAGAAATTCCCTTTGCTAGGGACATCCTACTTGAAATATGTCTCACTTAAGCTGGGAGATAAACTTTTAAACACTAAATGTGACAGAAAAACTTTCTGGAGTTCAGAAAGCTAGAGTATCCACAGCTTTAAAGTGCCAGAAGATGTACAGTAGCACACACATGTATAACCCAACATACGCATGCCATATAAAGAAACTTTACAGAGCAGACAAACTGCACTCTAGCCCAGTAATGCAACAACCAAGGCAAATGTCTCTTTCATAGTGGTTTCATCCATACGAGGCCAGTGTGCTTTAGTGATTTAGGGGAGGCGTGACTAAGGAAGGTGTCTGAGGCCAGCACCTTCTACACCAGGGCCAACCCAAGAGGAAGGATTACATTCTCAGACATAATCCTAAACTTCTGGGAAAAGCCAGATTACCAGACAGGGCCAGGAAGCCAGAGAAACATGAATGACAGAGAAAAAAGGAAATTGAGAATGGTTAAGAATCAACAGAGTTATGAAGAAACAAGTTTGACAAGACGTTGGGCAGAAATGAGGAGGTATTAATGCAGACACCAGAGAGACTAGAACCGGTTCAATACTTTTTTTTCCTCAGGAAAAAGGATGCAGTAAGATTGACCATCACGGACTGAAAACTAAGACTCAACATAGGGAAATCACTGCGGAAGGAAAGTTAAGTCATGAAGTGTACAGAATCACAGAATCACAGAAACACTA